AGAGAGGGATGCGCTCAGACACGGCCACGCGCGGGCACCCGGCCCAACACCCCCCCGAGGGCAGGCTGCCCGTCCTGCCCCACGCAGGGGAACTCTGCTCCTGGCACAGGCAGCCAGCAGTGGAAGCGTTCTCACGGTCAGAAACCTCCCACCTGGGGTCTTGTCCAGCTCCTGCAGCATGGTGTAGATGCAGTGGTCGAAGAAGAGCTCCAGCACGCTGGAAGACTTTCCCAGCAGGGATTTGATGACGTTCCTCAGCTCTTTGTTCACAAGACAGTACGGGTAATCTGACGGCAACACAGAGCGAGGAGCAAGTCAGCGAGCGCTGGCGCAGCCGCGGTGCAAACCCTGCCCAGCAGGCACAGGGCAGCGCCTCCAGGCCCAGGGGTGCCTCCAGCAATTATCCCGCAGTGCTCAGCACCAAGTGCCCTCTGTTACACGTCGGTGCTGCAGGGTACAGGCAGCTGCTGAGAAGGGAACCCCGCTGTCCCTCCCAGCGATGCGTGCTCCCAAGCGGGGTACCCGCGAGCAGACTGCTCGGTGCCGGGCCACTGCACAGAGCCTGGGGGGGGCTATGCTGAAGGGAGGCCTGGAGAAGGTTTCTAACTTGCCATAGATGACTTCAGTGTTCTTGGCAGTCAGAGAAGAGTTAAATTAGAGATAGCACAAAAATCAGCCAAACACAAACCCTATGAAATATGTCAAATTGAGATCACAGTCCTGTGTTACCTAAGCATCTACCAAAGGCAGTTCTGGGAGGGAAAAAACAAGCAGCCCCAGGAAAGCCCCGAGCATCTCAGCTGGCAGTGAATGGGCACAGATTTTGGGGCAGGCTCAGCCCCGTCCATCTCAGATGAAAACAGATTTTTCCTTTAGATTTCCAGTGACTGTTCCACCCTGATGCTTCTAAAACCCGTCTCTGATGCCAGCTGTCCTTTACCCTTCACTCTTTAAGAGCCCGCACACCACACAGGCTGCAAAGTGGGAGCCCCGGCGCTTCCTGCAGCACCAACAGAAGCACGGAGCAGGCAGTGCCCCCCGGCCACCCCCCCATGTCCCCGCAGTGCCACTGACCGTGGGCGTGCTGGCTGAGCGCGGGGTCGCTCTTGGGCGCCTGCAGCTTGTAGTTGAGGTAGCCGGCCAGGTCCTTCACCCAGACCGAGGGGTTCTCGGGGAACATGCTCTGGCTCTTGTCCAGCTCCTTCTGCAGGTCCGCCACGTCGAGCTGCGGGTGACAGAGGTCCCCTGAGACACGCAGACCCCAGCAGGGGAAGAGAGGAGCCGGCTCTGGTGCACCAGGGAGCGTGGGGCCGAGGCGCTGCCCTCCCTGCCCTGAGACCACCGGCCTCACCCCCATTTCTTAATAGTAACAAAGGCTCCTGAGGAACAACAGAAAGCGGGTTGGAAGTCGTGCTCACATGGGCTGCAGAAGGTGGCTCACTGGAGGGAGGCACTGCCTGTCCTCACAGCTGCCCAGCGCCTGCCCCTGCCCTCAGCCAGCCCCCATCCCTGAACCTCGAGGAGCTCAGGAGCTGCAGCAACGCTCCAACAGCTGCTCACCGTTTTGCACCCAGTCTGACATTTGTCAGCTGCAGGCACCAGGCACCATTAAATCTGAGCCGGAAAGCCTTTTGTTGTGTGCTTCTGTAAGCAACTACTTTGAAAAAAGAGTAAAAAAAACAAAAATAAATTGCTGCTGCTGTGTCAAAAAAAAGAAACGTAACCAGCAGCGGAGCTGAGGGGGCAGCAGTCCCATGAGGGCCCAGCAGCACTGGGGGCCGCGAGGCTTCCAGCCCCGAGGAGCATCCCCCAGGGCCCGCAGCCCCGACACGCGTGGGGCGGCTCCGTGGTGTGCCCGGGGGCAGGGGCTGAGCGGGGACCGGGGCTCGCGTTGAGCACAGCCGTGGGAGCCGGGATTTTGGGGGTTTCCCTGCGGAACCCGCCCGTGCCAGGCGCCACGAGGGGCGGCGGGATGGAGACAGAGACGGAGCCGGACGGGTTCTGCCGCCAGACGGGGGGGGGGCGGGAGCGTCCCGGGGGCAGGGCAGGGGCCGGGGCCGGGGCAGACAGGGAGGGGGCGCGGGCACGAACCAGAAATTCCCCCCCGGCCGCCCCGACCGCGCGGCCCTCGGAGAGCGGCACCGGGGGCGGGGAGGCTCCGGGGCACCCCCAGCCCCGGCACCTCCCGGGGGCTGTGAGGGGGTCCCGGGGGGGCACTCACCGCTCTCAGCGCTTCCTCCAGGGAGCGGAACCGGCCGGGCTTGGTGCCGCCGTCGGCCGCCGCCTTCCTGCCGCTCCTCCCGCCCTGCTGCCGCCGCGCCGCCTGCTCGGCCGCCACCTCCCGGCCCGGCCTCTTCGCAGCCTTCTCCGGGCCCGGCTCGGGGCCGCCGCCAGCTGCGCCCCCGGGAGCTGCGGGGGGAGCGCGGGGACGGTGAGAGCGGAACGGGACCCCCGGACCCCCGCCCCAAAGCCCCCCGGCCCCCGCCGCAGCCCCGCACTCACGGGCCGGGGCCGGCACCCGCCCGGCGTTGGCCTCCCCCGCGGCGCGGCGGCCGCCGGAGCCCCCCGCGGGGCGGCGCCCCCTGCGCACCACCTCCCAGCGCCCGCCGCCCGCCGCCGCCATCGCCGGACCCGGACCCGGAGCCCAGGGGCGGGGCGGGGCGCGGGGCGCGCTCAGTGGCTGCCCGCGGGAACACGTGGAACACGTGCACAGCGCGCCGCGTGCCACGTCCCCGCCACGCCCCCCCCGGCAACGGCACCGCCCCCCCGGGGGGAACGCCCCCATGGGGACACGCCCAAAGCTGGGAGGGGGCGGGGCTCTGGTGTCGGGGGGCGTGTCCATGCAGATCAGGGGGCGTGTCCATGCAGATCAGGGGGCGTGTCCATGCAGATCAGGGGGCGTGTCCACGCAGATCGGGGACCGCGCCGCATGCCGGGACCGAGCCCACGCCACGCGGCGCCCCCCTGGAGACCCCCGTGGGCGCGGAGCGGGCTCGGGACGTGGGCGCTCGGCGGGGCGGGGAGGGGGCGTGGGGAGGGCCCGGGGGGGGCTTTGGGGGCTGGTGTCCGTGTGCTGGGGGTGCGTGCGCTGTGGTGGGGCCGGGTGGTCGGGGAGGTGGGGGCATACTTACCTGGCAGGGGAGACACCATGATCAGGCAGGTGGTTTTCCCAGGGCGAGGCTCATCCCCTGCACTCCGGGTGTGCTGACCCCTGCGATTTCCCCAAATGCGGGAAACTCGACTGTATAATTTGTGGTAGTGGGGGACTGCGTTCGCGCTCTCCCCTGGTTCCCAGGTACAAAGACAGAGCTGGTGTCGCGGCGTTCTTCTCCTCTCTCTCTCCTCTTCTCCTCGGGCGGTTCCTGGGGCTGCGCTTCGGCTCCTGTCCCGCGGGGGCTGCCCGGAGCCTGCCCGTGGGGGTCCCGCTCCGCCCGGTCCCGCCGTACCGGCAGAGGCACCGCTCGCTCACACGGCCCGGGGCAGCCAGCCGGGCACAGAGGACACCGATCGGCTGCCAGCAACGAGCGCGAGTGGAGCTCGGCCAAATCCCTCTGAGGTCGGCCAAATCCCTCTGCCTCCCACCCCTCAAGTATTTATACACATTGATGAGATCCCCTCTCGGTCTTCTCTTCTCCAGGCTGACCAGCCCCAGGTCTCAGCCTTTCCTCACAGGGAAGATGCTCCAGGCCCCCTCTCATCTTTGTGGCCCTCTGCTGGACTCTTTCCAGGAGATCCCTGTCTTTTTTGTACCGGGGAGCCCAGAACTGGACACAGTACTCCAGGTGAGGCCTGAGCAAGGCAGAATAGAGGGGGAGGATCACCTCCCTTGACCTGCTGGCCACCCTCTGAGCTCAGCCAGTTCTCAACCCACCTTACTGCCCACTCATCCACCCCACACTTTCTCTCTGAAATTCCAGGGTGGCAATCCTATCTTTTGCCTTACTTCTTCCACCAAGTTCCATCTTGAACTCCATGATCTCATGGTCGCTGCATCCCAAGCTGCCCCCAACCTTCACATCCCTAACAAACCCATCTGCTTATAAGAACAAGGTCCAGAAACACCCCCGCCTTGTCAGCTCCTCCACCACCTGCATCAGAAAATTATCTCCAATGCATTGTTTGTCCGTTTGGACTGCATGTGCCTGGCTGAGTTGCTTTCCCAACAGATGTCCAGATGATTAAAACCCCCATGAGAACCAGCGTCCAGGATCGTGAGGCTACTTCCAGCTGCTTGTAGAAGGCTTCATCGACCTCCTCCTCGTGATATGCTGAGCTGCAGCACACCCCCACAGCAGCGTCCCCCATACCAGCCTGCCCCTTAGGCTCTCCACACCTTCTTTGCCTTCCCCCAGGTGGAGCTGGGTACATTCTAATTGCTCTCTCACATAGAATTTCACTTATCTTATAGTTCCTGTAAGTGGCAGCTTGATTAATCCTGGCTCCCAGAAGGATCCTGGGTGTTCCTCTGCTGGTGCATCACAAACTGGGGCAGGAGGCAGCCATGGACCCCGCTGGGCCCCGCAGGGCAGGAGCAGTGGAGGAAGCGTGGTTTAACTCTGCTGGGTTTTACACGGGGTTTTACCCAGCTGGGCAGCCGAGCTCCACCTCAGCCGCTCTCTCACTGCCCCTCCTCAAAGCAGAGAAAATACGATGCAAAGGGCTCAAGGGGTGAGATAAGGATGGGGAGATCACCCAACAGTTATCACGGGGAAAACAGACCCCGCAGAGGGAGATTAGTAACATGTAACACCTCTTAGTAACCAGATGGAGCTGTGAGAAACAACCACAACAAATAAAGACACCTTCCCCTCCTCGAGCAGCGCAGGGCAATGGGGGCTGCGCTCAGTCCCTGAGGCTTCGTCCCTGCCGCTCCTTCTCGGTCCCTCTCTGCCCCTGCTCCCCGTGGGCTCCTCTCCATGGCTGCAGCTCCGGCCCGGGGCCTGCTCCTGCGGGGGCTCTCCATGGGCCGCAGCCTCCTCCAGGCCACATCCACCTGCTCCACCGGGGGCTCCTCCACCCACAGGGGGGCAGCAGCGTGGAGATCTGCTCCATGGGGGACCCATGGGTGCAGGGGGACAGCCTGCTCCACCAGGGGCCTCTCCCTGCACAGCCCGCAGGGGAACTGCTGCTGTGAGCCTGGAGCACCTCCTGCCTCCTGCTGCACTCACCTTGGGGGCTGCAGGGCTGCTTCTCCCTCCTCTCTCCCAGCTGCTGTTGCTCAGCAGGGTTTATTTATTTATTTATTTATTTATTTATTCCTTTTTATTTCCTCCCCCCTTTCTTAACTCTGCTCTCTCAGAACAAACAACGTTTCTTATCGGCTTGGCTCCACCAGTGGCGGGCACAGAGCTGGCTCAGACTGGCCCTTCTCTGCCTTGGGGCAGCTTCTGGGTTCTTCTCCCAGGACCACCCCTGCCCCCCCAGCCCGGCACGGGAAGGCTCGGGGCTGCCCCGCACCCAGCGAGAGACCCCGAGAGCCTCCGAGGCGCCCGCTCGGCTCCTCCCGCACCCCCTCTGCGCCCCGCGGCCCCCGATCGCGCTCCGAACCCCGGCGAGGCGGCGGCCACGGGGCAGCAGGGCGGGGGCGCCGGGGGTCCCCGGGGCCCTGCGGGATGGGGCGGCCGCAGCAACACCCCCCGGGGCACCTCCGCAGCCCCTGGAAACTGCCAGAGCCGCTCCAGGACACTCACGCCAACACTACCCCAACCATCACCGCCAGCTCTGTCTTTGCACCTGGGAACCAGGGGAGAGCGCGAACGCAGTCCCCCACTACCACAAATTATGCAGTCGAGTTTCCCGCATTTGGGGAAATCGCAGGGGTCAGCACACCCGGAGTGCAGGGGATGAGCCTCGCCCTGGGAAAACCACCTGCCTGATCATGGTGTCTCCCCTGCCAGGTAAGTATGCCCCCACCTCCCCGACCACCCGGCCCCACCACAGCGCACGCACCCCCAGCACACGGACACCAGCCCCCAAAGCCCCCCCCGGGCCCTCCCCACGCCCCCTCCCCGCCCCGAGCTCCGGCCCCGTTCCGAGCCCGCTCCGCGCCCACGGGGGTCTCCAGGGGGGCGCCGCGTGGCGTGGGCTCGGTCCCGGCATGCGGCGCGGCGCCTGATCTGCATGGACACGCCCCCTGATCTGCATGGACACGCCCCCTGATCTGCATGGACACGCCCCCACGCCCACAGGCCACGCCCCTCGCCCGCTCTGGCCGCAGCCAGGCGCAGAGCGGGGGTTCTGCAGGGGCAGCAGTTTGTGCGGGGGAAATCCTCGCTAAGGGAGACAGGAGGAGCACTGCGAGATCGGGAAAAACACAAATCACGGGCCCTCTGCTCACGAGAGAACAAGGAAAAAGAAGGAAAAGGAGAAATTAGCGGGTGGCCAAATCACATTGAACGTGTAGGGTACAGGAGGGCATCGGGCGGGCGCTGAACTTGCAGGACTCAGGTGAGGAAATGGGAGAAATCAGGTGCCGGGCAATGGGGGATATAAGGTTAGGATAAACTCCTGCTGTGCGCTTCTGCTTGCAAGATGCCCACAGTGCAATCACAAATGAGACAGCTTCACAGAAGGTCCTGTCTGAGGAAAATTATTGAGATTTTTCCCACAGCAGTCCCAGTCACTCTCGGCCCCTGTGCTGTGGGGTCCCACCCACGGGATGCAGTCCTTGATGAACTGATCCGGCGTGGGCTGCCCACAGGCAGCAGCTCTTCCAGAACTGCTCCAGATATGGGTCCGTACCACGGGGTCCATCCCTCAGGAGCAAACTGCTCCAACCTGGCTCCCCCACGGGCAGCAGCTCCTGCCAGGTCACCTGCTCCACCGTGGTCTCCTCCACGGGCTGCAGCGTGGGACCCTGCTCCACCGTGGTACTCCATGGGCTGCAGGGGGACATCCTGCTTCACCATGGGCCTCACCACAGGCCGCAGGGGACTTCTGCTCCGGCGCCTGGAGCACCTCTCCCCCTCCTTCTGCACTGACCTTGGCACCTGCAAGGCTTTTACAGAGAAATGACTGGCTGGCGGGGTGGTGTCTGGACCAGGGATTTGGGTATTTTGATCTTGGGCCGTCCTTTGAGAGGTCGGGTATGTGGGCTATGGACAGACACCAAGTGGGGCGCAAGTGTGTTGGGGAGCAAGCTCTCTGGGCTGATTACCAGGGCTTTAAACTAGGTTTGATGGGGGAAGGGAGGGGAGCTAAAGGTGACAGAGAAGGGCTGGGGGAAGTCATCACTGCTGTCACTGTTGAAGACAGGGAAAAACTTCTGAGCTCTCCCATAGGATTGTCTGAGGGCTCCTCAGAGAAGGTGGCGTTCCCGATCCCCTGTCCAGTATCTTCTTCTTGCATCCCCCCAGGAGTAACTGCACCTGCTGCTTCCCTAAAGTGCCTGTACACCAATGCACGGAGCATGGGAAACAAACAGGATGAGCTCGAGATCTGTGTTCGGTCGCGGGGCCACGATCTCGGTACGATCACTGAGAGCTGGGGGAGAGTGAGGGGCAAGTGGAGAGCTTGTGGGTGAGAATTAAGGGGTGGGCTGGTATGGGAGACACGGTGGTAGGGGTCTACTACAGGTCTCCAGATCCGGAGGAGGAGGTCGATGAGGCCTTCTACCAGCAGCTGCTAGTAGCCTCACGATCACGAGCGCTGGTCCTCATGGGGGACTTCAGTTACCCAGACATCTGCTGGGTAAGCAACTCGGCCAGGCACGAGCAGTCCAAAGGGTTCCTACAATGTGTTGAGGACAATTTTCTGATGCAGGTGGTGGAGGAGCCGACGAGGCGGGGGGTGCTCCTGGACCTCGTTCTTACCAACAGGGATGGCCTTGTTAGCGATGTGAAGGTTGGGGGCAGCTTGGGATGCAGAGACCATGAGATGGTGGAGTTCCAGATAGAACTAGGCAAAGGAAGTAAGGCTAAAAGCAGGATTGCTACCCTGGACTTCCGAAGAGCCAAGTTTGACCTCTTCCTTCTTCGACCTGCTTGGGAGTATCTCATGGGCTAGGTTGCTAGAAGGCAAGGGTGCTTGTGAGAGCTGGGCTACATTAAAGCAGCACTTCTTCCATGCTCAGGGTCGGTGCATCCCAAAGAATAGGAAATCGAGGAAGGGGGGCAGGAAGCCCACGTGGATGAGCAAGGAGCTCATAGATAAGATCAAAAGGAAGAGAATGGTCTATGAAATGTGACTTTAGCAAGGCTTTTGATACTGTCTCCCATGACATCCTGCTGGCAAAGCTGAGAAAGTGTGGGGTGGATGAGTGGGCAGTAAGGTGGGTTGAGAACTGGCTGAGCTCAGAGGGCAGCCAGCAGGTCAAGGGAGGTGATCCTCCCCTTCTACTCTGTCCTGGTCAGGCCTCACCTGGAGTACTGTGTCCAGTTCTGGGCTCCCCGGTACAAAAAAGACAGGGATCTCCTGGAAAGAGTCCGGCAGAGGGCCACAAAGATGAGACAGGGCCTGGAGCATCTTCCCTGTGAGGAAAGGCTGAGACCTGGGGCTGGTCAGCCTTAAGAAGAGAAGACCGAGAGGGGATCTCATCAATGTGTATAAATACCTGAGGGGTGGGAGGCAGAGGGGTTTGGCCAACCTCTTTTCAGTGGTTTGCGGGGACAGGACAAGGGGCAATGGGCACAAAATGGAGCCCAGGGAGGCTGGGGGGTCTCCTTCTCCGGAGATCTGCTTATCTGGAGGTTGGCCTTGAAAAGGAGATGGATCTGCTTTTCTTCGATCCGGGAAGAATGGGATACATAAGGCCTGAAGACTGAGTTGCTTGTCAGCTTACAGCGAGACATATTGTTCAAAAGGAATGGAAAACGGAGACTGTTAAGTCATGGAGCTTAAAGGATTGTTCGTTTCTGATTGTACGTACGTACAGGCATATTTGGGTTTAGTATGTAAAGCCATGTTCTGTATATTTAGAGTGCTTGATGATGTATGTGTGTGTTGGTGGAGCGTGGACTCCCCGCACACCCAGCGCTGTTTACTTGCCTTTTATACCTTTTAGAAATATTTGTTTTATAAATATTACAAAATTCAGATTGAGTTGAGACTTCATGTATAACACCTGGCACCTGATTTCTGCCATTTCCTCACCTGAGTCCTGCAAGTTCAGCGCCCGCCCGATGCCCTCCTGTACCCTACACGTTCAATGTGATTTGGCCACCCGCTAATTTCTCCTTTTCCTTTTTTCCCTTCTTCTCTCGTGAGCAGAGGGCCCGTGATTTGTGTTTTTCCCGATCTCGCAGTGCTCCTCCTGTCTCCCTTAGCGAGGATTTCCCCCGCACAAACTGCTGCCCCTGCAGAACCCCCGCTCTGCGCCTGGCTGCGGCCAGAGCGGGCGAGGGGCGTGGCCTGTGGGCGTGGGGGCGTGTCCATGCAGATCAGGGGGCGTGATTATGCAGATAGGACGCCGCGCCGCATGCCGGGACCGAGCCCACGCCACGCGGCGCCCCCCTGGAGACCCCCGTGGGCGCGGAGCGGGCTCGGAACGGGGCCGGAGCTCGGGGCGGGGAGGGGGCGTGGGGAGGGCCCGGGGGGGGCTTTGGGGGCTGGTGTCCGTGTGCTGGGGGTGCGTGCGCTGTGGTGGGGCCGGGTGGTCGGGGAGGTGGGGGCATACTTACCTGGCAGGGGAGACACCATGATCAGGCAGGTGGTTTTCCCAGGGCGAGGCTCATCCCCTGCACTCCGGGTGTGCTGACCCCTGCGATTTCCCCAAATGCGGGAAACTCGACTGCATAATTTGTGGTAGTGGGGGACTGCGTTCGCGCTCTCCCCTGGTTCTGCGGTATAAAGACAGAGCTGATTTTACTGGTTGTTTTTGGGGTCAGCTTCACTGTTCTGCTGACAGA